CGAAGCCTGCTGCCAATACAGTTATACTCAGGACAGCCAAAATTCAGGGTTGATTGTGAAGAGCTACAGAAGGGCTTTACAAAATCCAGTGAATGAACAGCAAAACAGCAGGGGAAGAGGAAAACAGCCCTAATTGCATGCACAGGTGCAGGCTCTAACACAGCTAACGGTGCTCAGGAAAGAGATCTGGGAGTCCCTGCTGGCAGCTCTGTAAATGTCTGTTCCCTGTGCTCTACCCTCGGCTCAAGCTGTCACCTGATGGCAGAGTTGGTGTTACGAACTTCCTCCTCCTCATCATCATCGTAGTCATCCTCATCGTCCGAGTACTGCTGGTGTTGTCGGACTGGGACCCGGCTGCGACCCACTCCTGCCGCGAGGTCTTCCTCCTCCTGCAAAACACCACTGCTGATGGCCTGCTGGCAGCGGGCAAGGAGGAAGAACTCAGCGGACACATCCTCCGTCCAGCCAAGCACCAGGGCTTGCCCCTTCAAGAGGGGACAGGGGACTCTTCCCTACGCTGGCTCAGCTGACCCACGTTAACACTGACCACTTTTGCCAGGTCAGTCTTTACCCTCTCACCTTCCAGCCTGGGTCAGCACAAGGGTGGGCAGGCTGCGAGGCAGGGGAAGGGCTTAGACTGGCTGACCAAGAGACTCCCAAGGAGGTGAGGGACTGGAAGGGAAAAGCTCAGCTCGAGTCAGGTGTGCTGCTGGCCTGAGGCTCCAGCCTACCTGCATGGGGGATTTGGCGTAGTTGTGATTATCCAGGAAGGCTGGCAACCTCTGCACGATGGGGTTGGGGTTTGTTGGAGGCGCCCCATTGATACCGCTCGCTGACATCTTTGCCACCGGTTTGGATTTGTTGGGCGGGCTCTGCGTGGCTGCAGGGTGGCCCTGGCTGGTGGGCTCATCGGTGTCATCTGCCATAAAGCACAGCACAGCCTTTCATGACCAGCACCACCACGCTTTTTACTCAATGTCTTCTGCCACTTCTTGCCCACCCCACATAAGAGGAGAGATCTTACGCCCCACCAGAACATCCCACCCACCTCCCATTTCACCTCCAGCTGTCACCAGTGTCCCCAAGCTTAAGCCTTCCCATTTTCAAGCTCTGCATCCCTCCAACACTCCTCCCAGGCACAGAGGCATCTACCACACCCCAGCACAGTGCACACAGAGCTGGGCTTGGAGAAAACAAAGCAAAGCTGACCATAAAACTGCCTCAAGCTCCAGGTCAGTCAGCTCTTGTCATCAGCCTGTGTTCACTCCACGGTAGGCCAGGGTGGCTGGCTGGCAACACCACTGGTACAGGGTCTACCTGGATGGGTGCTCTCTGGGGTCACGGTCTTGCTGCTGGCTGGCTTTGCCTCTTCGGAAGGCTGAGACTCCTGAGACTTCTGGGTCTGGATCAGCTCAGGCTGAGTTACTCGGATAAGCTTGAAGGCCAACGACAGATAGAAACTGAGTGCTGGACCGGTGTGACCCAAACCACATCCCTCCCATTCAAGCACTGCAGAACTCGTGAGGCTGAGCCAACTGCCAAGCATCCATGTGCACAAGCAACTGACAATGCCACTGACAACCTCCCAGGTGAGCAGCAAAAGGCCAAGGGAGGCTGCTTATCTCCTCTTCCCAGAAGATATTTCTCAAGACCAAAAAAAACCCTCAAAATCCAGGGCCCTCACAGCAAAGAGAGATGCCCTGAAAACAGAGCCTATTCCCACCCCAGGCTCATGCTCCCTCAGGGCTTGGGCTGTCCTACCTGCTGCAAGGCCTCCAGCACAGTCTGGCGGTTCATCTTCAGGATGTGCAGTTTGGACTCGTACTTCATCCTCCGATCAGGCACCACCGCCATCAGGTTGAAGCGGATATCATGGTACGGCTCCCTGCAGGAAGGGACAGGGGATGTGTGGCGGTGGCAGTGGAAAGCCCATCTCCCAGCAGGGGGGGGTCAGCAGGCTGCCCGCCATACCCCGAACACCTCCTGCAGGCTCTTTCCAGGCAGCACCTCCCCTGCCCTGGTGGTTAACACCAAAACACAGGAGGCTTTCTCCCAAAAATCTCATCAACCTCACACTGGCCGAACAAGCAGAGCAAAGTTACTTCAGCCACAACACAAAATACCCTTCACAAGAGTCACAGGTTGGTTGAGGTGGGAAGAGACCTGCAGAGGTCATCTGCTCCAAGCCCCTGCTCCAGCAGGGTCACCCAGAGCTGGTTGCCCAGGACCACATCCAGATGGCTTTCGATTATCTCCAAGGATGAAGACTCCAAAACCTCTTTGGGCAACCTGTGCCACTGTTTGGTCACCTTCATGCCCAAGCATCCAAAAGACCCAGCTTAGGACCAGAAGCACCGTTCCTTCTCCTACGGACTCGAGCTAACAGGGACCTAGTTTGGCCGCTCTTATCCTGTGCAGCCATTTGCAGGGACTCTGCATTGCACAGAGAGCACAGCTTCTCCACGTGCTCTGAAGACAGGCAAAGTGCACGCAAGAGAAGGCAAGGAAGTAGTGCACCTGCATCCCTCCCAAGCAACATTCTCCACCCCCACTTCCACAACTTCACACAGAGACCACAGTAGAAGTAATCCAGAGAAGAACGGCGAGAGGCCAGCGCCTGCACCATGGCCTGGGACATTACCCTGCAGTGGCCAGGCCGATGCGCTCCATGATTACTCTCCTGGCTTTGTCCGTCCATTCCTCATCGTCAGCCCATGGCCCTGTGATAACGATACAAGCTGGAATTAGCAAAGCAGGCCAAGGCTCCTGCTTCAGACTCACAGAGGGGATCCTGCCATCCCCACGAGAGGCAATTTCACAGCTCCCTTACATACCAGGGAGCAAGTCAAGAAAGGGGCCAGGACGCAGAAGGCCCACACTCTCAGCCCATACGTGGAACCCCCTGCCCCGGCCTTCCAAATGGAAAACATGAGTTATCTGCTAGGTGGAAAGGTGAGGTTTGAATTCTACGGACCACAAGCAATTCACAGGCTCTGGGCTCACAAAGTCCAAGGGATCCACCTGCCACTGGATCTGGTGCCATGCTTACGAAACCCAAGTACATGAAGTGGGTACCTTACCAAAGGCCTGACAGACAGAAGCAAAGTCCTAGTGGGGATAAAAAAAGTGTCTGAAAGACAGAACTAGCGCTCAAGTTGTAAGAGAAGGGAGTAATGTGAGCAGCCTGCTGGGATCTACGTTAGGATCTTGTGCCTCAACACGCAGCAGTTATTTGGTGCAAGGAGAGGGTAAGGAGACAAAATTCTGCTTGTGATAACGAGTTATTTCAGAGCTGCAGAGGGCTCTCATGACCCTGAGCAACTGGGGAGGAAAATGGCAAGGCTAGAAAAAGCACTGGAGTGATTCTCCACAAACATCAGCTAACGCTCAGTGGCGATGAAAAATAACACATACATTCAGCCATACCAGGGTGTCTATCCGACTGTGCCAATGAGCAGGGGCAGGTAGGCTCTTACCATGGTCAATGGGATAGACCTTGAGCCCGTCCAGCTCAAAGAGCCGTCCCTTGATGGGGACATAACTGACAAAATGAAAAGCCTCCATGGTTCGCACGGCGCTGATACCGTTCTGCTTCTCCGGCAAGTGCCGTGGCTCCGGCCTGCGAGGGCAAGAGAGGCGAGAGGTCAGCAGAGAGCCTGCCTCCTTCGGCACGAGCGAGCTGCGACAGACCCCCTCACCCACCTGGCATGGCTGTTGTGGGCCTTGGCCAGCTCGGGGGCATTGCCGATGGCATAGCCTTTACTCTGCAGCAAAGAGCAAAACAACTGAGAAGTGACAGGAAACAAACAAAATGCTTCACCCACCAGCTCCCCGCTCCCTCCATCCATACACAGGACCAGGAGAGCAACCTTCAGGCACGCCCTCTGCTCTGCCAAGTTTCAGGTAAAAGCCAGGATGAAAAGAACACACAATTTCTGCTAAAGAAATTACAGTCAGAAACACAGACTTCAAGACAGGTCTGAAGGCAGGAGAGAAGACTCTTGATCACAGACTTAGAATGCATCTGGGCTAGGGAATAGCATGACAGAAGGCCCAGAGCTGTGCTGTGGAAGGGGACTGAGGCGCTGAGCAAGGCAAGGTGGGAAGATGAGAGAGAAGAAGCAACGCTGATGTAGCCAGAAGCCACAAAGGACCAGAAAGGAGCCAGCTCATGAGAGCATCATCTTGAGCAAGAAGCGAGAGGCAGATGGACACACGCCACGCATGCAGAGCCCCGCACGCCCCCACCCCTACCTCAGGGCTGAATCCTTTGGTGAAATCCTTCATGCGGCTCAGCGTGGGGCCCAGATCAACATTGTTGCAGTTCAGGAGGACGCTCAGCAGAGCATGGGTGGCACAGGAATTGGGGATCAGCTGGAGGGTGACACAAGGACCATCTTAACCAGCAGGAACAAGGCAACCCTTCAACAACCTCTGAGTTGACAATAATCAGTTGAAAAGCACTGACGCAAGAAGCACTTGTGAGAGCAGCGACTTGACCTCAGCTCTCAAAGGAGGGAGGAAGTCAGTCTCGTTTAGTGAGCCACACCATGGCCCCGTGAGCATCTGCTCACAGTGCAGGCCATGGACAGGCTCACAGCCCTCAATGGATTCCCTCCAACCTGGAGCTCAGGGCAGAGACTCCCAGGAAAGAGGAGCTGGCCTCAGGACCAGCAAGAGCAGTGCAGCCTCTCAGTTCCCTGTTGCTTCCCTGAGGTGTCACATGAGACATCCCCCTCTTTCCCCTCACCTCCAGCCTACCTGGTGAGCAAAGAACATGTTATTAACGATGTCATCATCGATCACCGATGTTTCATCCACCAGGGTAGAGACCTTCCGGCGTGATCTGCGCTCCTCAATCCACTTGAACAGGAAGATGAACCCATACACAGGGCTGTGGAGAGAAGTCAGCAGTTGCGTCGTTTCGGATGGACCACACCAGTGGGGCTGCTCTGCCCAGCACCAGAAACCTTCCGTTTCAAACCACAAGCAGAGCGAAGATAGAGAGGAAAAGCAGAACCACCAGCCCCATCTTTCTGGAAGTGGCCATCCCTGCCACAAGTCCTCCCGGCCCCACATTACCAAGGACACTCTCCTGCACTGATGCTCTAGGCTCAGACAACAATCAAGCTTGAAAACTTTGGGGTTTGACAGGTCTTAAGAGACAAGGAAACAGGAGGTGAAATTCACCTCTGGACACTGACTGACCTGCAGAATAGTACCTGACCACCAAACGACCCCTCCTTTTACATATACGTTGCACTCATTTTCAGGAAGAGTTCGGAAAACGGCTTTTAGGAAAGCAACAGCCTCAAAGCCATTTCAAAACAGAGACAGGGAGAAAGCCCACACTGCACGCATGCTGTTTGGCACTGCCCCTCTCCCTGGGGAAAGGGAGATGAATCCCTCTAAGTATGACCTCCACCTGCTCCAGGAGGTCTTTCTCAAGGCACGAGACTGCCCATCTGCCCCAAACCTGATGAAAAACTCCTGGTTCACCACTTATAATGCTGACCTCCACAACCATGAGCTCACACGGGCCTTTCTGAACGCCTGGCGATGAGTTCCCAGGCCCGCAGAGGCATTCTGCTTAATAAAACTCATACTTTCACGCCTGTGACTTACCCTTGGCACTTGCTCTGCAGATCATAAATCTCTTCAACCTGCACTCCCTTGACCCCTGCAAACAAAGGGCAGAAGCTGGTGTAAAGCCCACCAGAAAGGACTAGGGGTGACATCAAGCACGAAACCGACTTCCCAGGAAGGTTTCTGGCACTCACCAAAATCTTCGACCAGGAGTGTGAAGAGACCTGGAAAGGAAGAAAACCAACAGGTTACTTCTGACTGAAGAGAGCAGAGGAAACCTGCTGCCACTGGCCCCTGAAGGTCCCATGTGGTTCCAGGCCAAGGTGCAGCCAGAAAAACCACAGCAGAGTGGCACTGGGATCACGCTGACTCCCCAGCAGCAGAGCTGTTGAGCCCTGGCTTGCGACAGGTGCTCTGGCTCCCTTCATCCCCATTCATCATCCTCTTCCTCAAGAGGACCTGAACCAACCCTCTTTTGTCAGAGCTCGATGAAGCTGGACCCACCTTCAGCATCCTGACCCACTGCAGATGACCTGCCAAGAAACATATCCCCACAGGGATGAACAGCAGCAGGGAGCACCTAAACCACACGCACTAACGCTTCTAACTGGAGGGAAACGCTGCTGAATAGATCACAGGATATTTTAAAAGAAGATAATTTATGTTCTTGTTAGTGAAAGACAACCAGTGAGGAGAAAACCAGCTCACAGCAGCAGAGCTGTGGGGAAGTCTGAGGGGCAAAAGGCTCATCTTCATCGCCGTCTCTCCTGGGGGACCAAATCCAAGAGCCTGTCTTCAGTGGCTACAAAATTCCCATTACAGAAGGCCATAATCAGGGATACAGAGACAACAGCAAAGAGACTGAAGGATTTTTAGACATCGGCAACTGAGCAGCAGCTCCCACTACAATGCTGTAGCAAGGGCAGTCGGCCCAAGTTTCAGGCGGGCCCCCTGCATGGGGAGTTAGTGAGCTCAAGACTGGAATAACAAATCTGCTTCTTTCGCTCCCCTGTAAAGGCTGCTGAAAGCCTGGGAGGAAGGCCAGGGAACATCAATAAGAAGGATTCTATCCCGAGAAACATCCCTGTAAGCAACGGATTTAAGGAACCCAATGTCAGTGGCTCAATCAAGAAGGGAAGAGCCCATGGGGCTTCCACACCAAAGTTAAAATGACTAAAACAGGGAGGAAACTTCTGGGAGCAAAAAGTCTTCATTAATTTAGCAGAAAACATCTTATTTCTTACAAAATTGCCAGTGGGAAGAAACAGACAATGAAAATAACATGCTTCGAACCATGACGGCCAAACCCCGGCCTCCTTGCCGCGCAACGCCATGACACCAAACCCCGGCACCTTTCTGGCAGAGAAGTTTTTGCTCAGAACGCTCGACGTCGCGGAGGGCTGCGTCATACGGGTGACATCCACAGGGACTTCAGGCAGCGCCGCTGCCTCGCTGCCTTCTCTGCAGCCACCCCCTTAGGGCAAGCGGTCCCTGCAGACCATCGGGGTCTTCAGATGCTCATTACAGCCACGCTCCTTGTTCCCTCTTCAGACGGGGTCCGTTACGGAAGCCGGAGTGGCAGCTGTTTACACGTAGAGTCTTTCAACTGTAAAAGCTTCCGCAAAAGTCGAACGCCTCACTGACTCTCCAATTTCAACAGTTCCAGTCTACTGACCACAGCAGAACACGTGCGACGCGAGATGCGAACCGTATCATGAGCTCTGCCTCGCATCAGAGCAAGGCTTCGCAAACACGACCCACCATGAACACCAAAAGCAGCGCTGCTCCCGCATGTACCACCAGCGGACAACGACCAAGCAGCACTTCTGAGCTCACTGTGGCTCAGCCCAGAGCACTCCGATGTCTCCGCAGCAGCTCTCCAGGAGCGTGCATCAGACCAGCAGGGCTCTGCCAAAGGAGATGGGAAGTCAGCCGACGTGTGTTCTCCTCCCATCTGATCAACATTGCTGGGCACCCAGAGAACTCAGAAGCCAAACTTCTCCAAGAGCAACGTGAAAGGACAAGAAGTGATGGTAACAACCCGCAGCAAGAGAAATTCTGACTACAGACCTGGATCAAAAACAACCCTTCGCTATCAGTGTGGTCGGCCCTGGGACCGGGGTGCAGAAATCTGCTTCCTGGTCATACTCAACGGAACACAGCCACAAGCGACCTGAACTGCCTCTGAAGTTAGCTCTGCTTTGGGCCAAAGACTTCCAGAGGTCCCTTCCAACTGTGTTTTTTTCTACAGTTCAAGTCAATATTTTGTATTTCTTCAGCATCCACAAAACGCGTAGTCCTGCTGCTGCCGTCACTCCTGGGACACCCAAAACCCTCATCCCAAATTATTTATGTCAGCTGGAGGAAACACTCTGGTATCCCCAAGCATATGCAACACTACGCCAGCAGCCTGGAGACCCCAAGGCTCCCCTCTTGGCCCAGCAGCCGCAGTGGACAGCCCAAGTCTGGATTACCAACCTTTCATGACCAGTAAAGCACTGAGAGCTTTCAATCCCAAGCCCCGTGGTGAGGGCCGGGCAGCTCATGTGATATGCTGAAGGCCAAGGGCAGCACACGGGCCATTCCTAGCCGCTGTCCCAGCTGCCACCTCTGCATCCGAACCTCCACACATCCAAAGGAGCGCAGCTGCGGTGCCTCTGCCCAGACAGATTATCTTCCAAGTAAATAACCTTCCCTCCCAGGACTGAGAATCCAAACCATGTCCTGTCTTCAGCGTGGCCATGGTGAAGAAGAAGGGGAAGGACCTTAACAATTTCAGCAATTCCCAAGCACCAGTAAAAGGAAGATAAAGAGTGGCAAAACCTGGACTGACTGGGAGACCAACAGCAGACAGAATCCTTTGCTGAGCGCAGGAAGACAAGTATAATGCCACGAGTCCAATTTCCTCACCCACAGCCTCAAAAACACACCACCACATCCTAAAGATCAGCTCTCAGTCTCTCAGAGGACAACCCCACATCACACTACAGCAACTCGGAGATGTTAAAACAGCGCTCAGCTAGTGCCCCAGCTGATGCCAGCTTTGGTCCCCAAATCCTAACTCACAAAACAAACTCAGGACCCCATCACAGAAACCACCTTCTCCGATGCAGCGGTAAGGGGACGCCCATGACTGTCCTGCTCCCAGCTGCTCAGGCACCACACCAGGTTCTTCAGCACCTTTCGTGGGCTACCCGGGGGAGAGGGTCTGATCCACCTGCTCAGCTGCAAAGTGATGACAGGATCTGACACCCAGGGACAGACATCACCCTTGCATGCTCCCAAGTGACACAGGTTCTCCTCAACTGCGTGCTAAGCTCTGGGGCAACCACCAGCCAGAACTGTTTCTGTAGCAAAGGACATCCCATACGCACACCTCTCCCTATATTTCCGTGGTATTTTGGGGTGCATTTGCAAACGACAGGAACGCTTCATGCTACACCATCGTGGCATTTCAGATGTTTTACACAGAGACCCCTGGGTTTATCAGACCACTCACAGCTGCCTGGGGCTGCTACCAGAGCCCCGGCCTCGTTCTGAGCCATCACGATGCTCCTGCAGCCCTGTTCACCCCATCCCTGCCCTCATTCCTCACCAGCGCCCCTATGTCCAACCTCCTGCCATTCCCTCTTCT